AAAAAAAAAAAATGACAGAGAAAAATTTCCTGCGCAAAAAAAGCAGTATTGATTGTAACCCTGACTCGCATGCCGAGAGGAGATTCTCCGCCTCATGCTTCTGTTATCCTTCCGTTTGCCGACCCAATATTACTTATAGATCGAGAAATTGTCCTGCGCAGAAGAATGAGATCTACTTCACCAAGAAGCGTTTTGCTTTTCTTGATTATCTGCCCAAGTATGCTGCTCCTTTATGATTTTTTCTTGATCTAATATTTACCATCCGATTTTGTTTTGTTTTCGGGTTTTGTGGTCTGATCCACTTTGCTTTTGCTTATTGTTTTGGTATGAGCTGATGGTGATTGTTATCCTCTTAAAGTCTTCGGATTTTGTCTTGACCCCTGCTGTTTGGAGAGAAACAAAAATTGCAAGATTGATATTTTGGGCAAATTTTGGTATAATTGATTGGGGCAAGATTGTGAGCTTCTCTTGCCTCTCCGATTCCTCCTCGGGGTGAGGTATTTCATCGTAAAAAAGGATTACTGTTTCTAGGATCTTATTTCTGCCTTTGGAGAATAATAATTAATGTCGTATTTCCACATTCCAATCAGATGCCCAATGATTAATTAGGTTGTAAGTTATTGGAATAAGCAAACAAGTCAAAACCTTGATAGACTGTTATACAGGGTCATAATTCCAAGCATCATGCATTGATATTAAAACTGAAACAAGTCTTTTGACTATTGATTCCTAATGATGTTGCACAGATTATTACTTATTTTTGTCTATCATGCTTTACTTTTTAATAAACATGTTGCTGTGTATGAAGTATGATTACTGCTTGTTGAAGTACTTTCATCTTCAGTTTGTAGTTGGAAATAAAGGTTTTGGCATGTTGTCACATGATTTGCGGGGATTTCTAGCTACAGCTAAACATGCCAGTTTGAAGATGACAACAGCAAAGATAATATATAGCTTTTGGGATCCAGTCATATCTACAGCCTGATTACCCAGCAAAAAACTATACACAATCATCTGCAGTTGCAGAATTTCAAGTTTTTAATTTATTTATCCATAAAAGGATCATAGCTACTATGGAAGTTCAAAACTTGCTTTTAGCGGTTTGTCCAGACTTATCAGTCCATTGGATAGATATGGAAAACAATCATGCCTTATTAAGTCACCTCAATTGCCTTCTCCATCCTATTGTTCTTTCATTCAGTTCCAGAAACTGGCATCTAAGGGAGCCTGTAACTGTATTACCTACAAAGTGTCTTCTAGGAAGAAAATTGAATGTAGTGGTAATTTAGAACGTGGGGTTTTCACCACAGAGGCTAGCAACTTGAGTGCTCAAGTCAGACGGAAAAAGCTGGCTGTTTTTGTCTCAGGTGGCGGATCAAACTTTCGTTCAATTCATGAGGCATCAATTAAGGGATCAATTCATGGAGATGTCTCTGTTTTAGTTACAAACAAAAGCAGTATGTATTATTTTAAACCTTTATTCTCCTGTACAATAATGTGGGATCTTTGCTTTTCTCAATTATTAGTCCTTTTATTTTGTTTTTTCCTTTCGAAAGATCTTCATCTCTCATTCGTGTCTTCTCTTTACTTGCATGTTTCATTCTTTTTGCTTATTGTGGGTAAGGTCATTACTGCTACTAAATGTCATCAATGTCAAAGAAGCCCTTTTCCCTTGTACATTAATGTTGTGCATTAGTAGTAAATTGGATTGTTGGTTTCTTTTTCTTTCCCTTTGCAGACTGTGGGGGTGCAGAGTACGCCAGAGATAATGGCATCCCAGTTATACTATTCCCCGATGATGGACTATCCCCTGGCGATCTTGTTAATTCTTTGAGGTCATACAGATATACAACTTTTTGAGCTGTCCTTTTTTTTTCCCTCCCCTTTTTGGTTAGTGAAGAAAAACAGAAAACTAACTTAGCCTCTGTACTTTAATTCACTAAACTTCTCTTCCATTTATGGGAATAATAACACAGCAATCTCTACAGTTACTATGGCTGTGTGAAAATATCATCTTTTCTATTCGTGAGTCGAGAATAATGTTTGTCAAGTTCAGATCTTCTTAACAACAATTTACCTGCAAGCGAATGTGTTGGTGAGACCTGGTGCATAAATACGTGGCCATGTCATTAATATATGAAACATTATCTGCATCAGGAGTTTGGAGATTGATTTTATCCTTCTAGCTGGGTACCTCAAACTTATACCAGTGGAATTGATCCGAGCTTATGAAAGGTCCGTAATAAACATTCATCCATCACTTCTTCCAGCATTTGGAGGCAAAGGCTACTATGGAATGAAAGTACATAGAGCAGTAATTGCTTCTGGTGCAAGGTATGCTTCTTGCAAAATATTTCCACATATGCTCATTGCCATTGAGTACTACATGTACTTGGATCTCGATTACCTTATCTTTATTTCTCTTATATGTGTTTAGATATTCGGGACCTACAATTCATATTGTCGATGAACACTATGACACCGGGCGTATCCTTGGCCAGCGTGTTGTGCCTGTGCTTCCTAATGACACTGCAGAGCAGTTGGCTGCCAGAGTTCTAAAGGAGGTGGATAATTGGATATTTTTATGTCATTGATCCCTGCCCCCAATGGATTATAGAGATGAAACAATTCTCAAATTGATCCCTTCATAGAATTATATTCTCATTTTAGTTTTTTATGATCCCCTTAAAAAATTGTGAACAAGTGACTTTGCTGATAGCATTTATTGGTACCATGTGGCATTAGTTGTGCCCTGTTATTAAGTCCTTTAGCAAAGTGGGCGACTCGGTGATCAGATTGGATGTAAATTTGAAAACGATGGACAAACCTGGGAATAGAAGAAATCCATTGAAAACAAATCTGACAATCAATCTATTTGTCTGGGGCCAAAATGAGATTTTATTTGGCAAGTGCTTTAATGAAATGATTTTTTCATGTTCTCACTTTCAGGAGCACCGGTTATATGTAGAGGTGGTTGAAGCTTTATGTGAAGAACGTATAGTTTGGAGGGAAGATGGTGTTCCTCTCATTCGAAGCAAAGAAGACCCCAGTGAGTTAAGCTAACAGAAGTAAAGACTGGTCCTTTAATGAGGTCTTGAGGTCACCCTGAAGATCTGATTTCACTGTCATATGGTTATAACATACATTCTTTCAACACTCCTTTTCACTGCAATACCTATCACTTGATGAAATTGTCTTGCAGTTTCAATGTTTTCTGCTGGTGGTTTTGGCCTCATAAAACTTGTAACTTTGACAAAATTAGTGATGAATAATGATATGAGCATCAGATGGGTTTTGAGGGGCCCCTGATTAGGGTTGTGGGATTCTTCTCGTATGTGTGCCCTTGGCTTCTAAAAGCTGTTGGGCTCTGGACGACTTCTATACCTGATTAAGAATAACATGGATCGAGTTCAGATCATCTGCTGTGATGGTAACATTTGTATCTTCATTTGACCTTTTAAATTATGAGAAGAGATCTCAGTGCTTATCCAACTGATGATAAGTTTGGATAGTTGTTACTTTGTAGGCTGTTTTGGATTACATTGGTTTCACAAAATTTTTAAGAACGATGTGCTCTAATGTAATACCTCTAATAACTATTCCTTTCATTGGGTGTGGAATTTTTGTTACATGCTCATATTCACACCCTCATCTTGCTTTCCTGGGATTACATGAAGTTCTAACGAGAGTAAAATTTTTTTTGTTTATTTTCGGATTTCAATATTAAATTTCTTCTGTATTTATTTCGGTCTAGATCCAAGCATATGGTAACAGTCCCAGCCTGGCGCATAAAAGGCATGAATAACTAAACAAGTGGGGATTAATTTTGTTTTATTAAAAGTAAGTCATTTTATCATTTTAAAATTATATTCATAATAAAATAAAAGTTATATTTTTAGAATTAGAATTAGGTCACAATCATATTTACTTCAGTTAAATAATAATTTTTTTGAAATTTATAGTGTGCAAAATTATTTGATAGAAATTTATGAAATACCAGCTAAATTGAAGTCATCAAATGTGTTTCATTTCCCGTCTTCTCTAATGTCTATTGAGAAGCCCGATCCTCCAAAACTCAGATGCCCGTACGTCTGATTCAATCACGATGCTTCCTATCAGGTTAACTTTCCAAGAAGTACTCTCTTACACAGGAGTTGTTGCCCAAAAAAAGAAAAGAAAAACGCATTAGAGCTAGTTGGGATATATCTAATTTTAAATATAAGATTTTAATTATTTTATTTCTTATATTTATTATTTTTTAAAATTAATTGACTTAACTTATAAAATAATATATAATTTACTATTACATATGATTATTTTAAAGAGATCATGTCACTTTTATTATAATTAATTGATTAATTAATTAATTAATTAATTCATTCATTCATCTAACATTTTTAATTTATGAAAATTAATTGAGTGGTTTTTATATTAAGAATTGAAAGTAGTGTATTTTATAAAAAATTAATTTTTAAATTATTTAGTTACCATTTTTTAAGTTATAATATTTTTTAAGGCTACTATTAGAAAGCATTAGAAAATAAAAATTACGTATTAATTGCGAGGGAAATATGAGTTTTAAATTCTTAAAAAGTTAATACTTTGAACGAACTAAATAAGATAGATTTTCAAATTTTTCAGGAGGTTTAACTTCTCCCCTCCAATCTATAAATGCGTAATTGGATCATAACATATAAATATAATAAAGTTATACTTTGTCGGCAAAAAAAAAAAAAGGTTATAATTAAAGTTAAATTCTTTGCCAAAAAGATAATATATTTAAATTTCTTAATAAAGTTATTACTCAAAAACTAAATATAATAAATACGAAAGGAAAACCATGTTATTGACTTCTTTTTTTTTAAAAAAAATGACAGAGAAAAATTCCTGCGCAAAAAAAAGCAGTACTGAATGTAACCCTGACTCGCATGTCGAGAAGAGATTCTCCGCCTCATGCTTCTGTTATCCTCCGTTTGCCGACCCAAATATTAATTAGAGAGCGAGAAATTGTCCTGCGCAGAAGAATGAGATCTACTTCACCAGAAGCGTTTTGCTTTTCTTGATTAATCTGCCCAAGTATGCTGCTCCTTTATGAGTTTTCTTATCTATATATTTACCATCCGATTTTGTTTTGTTTTCGGGTTTTGTGTGTCTATTCACTTTGCTTTTGCTTATTGTTTTGGTATGAGCAATGATGGTGATTGTTGATCCTCCTATAAAGTCTTCGGATTTTGTCTTGACCCCTGCTGTTTGGAGAGAAACAAAAATTGCTAAGATTGGATATTTTGGGCAAATTTGGTATAATTGAATTGGGGCAAGATTGTGAGCTTCTCTTGCACTCTCCTCCTCCTCGGGGGTGAGGTATTTCATTTTAAAAAAGGATTACTGTTTCTAGGATCTTATTTCTGCCTTTGGAGAATAAATAATTAATGTCGTATTTCCACATTCCAATCAGATGCTCAATGAGCAGAAGCAATTAAGCAACAATTGTTTTTGAAGGCTGTTAGCAATTATCTATTCGATGTGTTGTTAAGTGTAGTGGGCCTTGTAGAACATGCCTTGGTGTTTCTTTCTTTCTTTCTTTCTTTTTTTTCTTTTTTTCTGTTTTGGCTTTTGTGGTATCAGATTATGGTTGGTCGATCTATCTAAGAGTTTTACTAATCCATGATCCTTTCTGATTTATGTAATGATTTATAGTTAAGGATGCATGTTTGTTGCTTCCTCTCTTGTGTACACGTGCAAAATTCTTGCTAATCAAAAGGGAAATTTTCTAATATATCTTTAGGTTAGATGTTTGCAATTTGAATCCAATAACCTTATTCCATTAGCTATTCTTGTTTCTGTTGTGAGGAGTTGAGTTTTCTTGCTTATTATCTACACAGTGAGTGTTAGAAGACAGTGACAAGTTTGTACTCATATCGTTGCTTTGCTGACATAGGATCTGGGTGATGTTGCCTACCTCAATGTTTTGTTAATAGGGTGCTTACACTTCATGTTGACTGGACTTGATATGGCTATTATACTTATTGATTAACGTGTTGGTTGGCATGAGGTTGGATTACTGATTGGTTGAATTGCTTGCATCATTTTAAGTTTTAGCTTTCATTGGGATGACCTGCTGCCTTATGGTTTGCGGGATTTTCTAACTCTGCAGCTTCAAAATACAGTCAAACAAATTGTCAGGCTGTAGGGGAAAATGGCAGAGACGATATCTAGCTTCTGGGGTCCAGTCACATCTACTATTGAGTGTTGTGAAAAAAATTATGAACATTCATCCTACATTGCGGAATTTTACAACACATTATCCAACATTCCGACCATCCTTTTGGCACTTATTGGTCTTATAAATGCTGTAAGACAGCGGTTTGAGAAAAGATTTACTGTGCTTCATCTATCCAACATGGCACTTGCCATAGGAAGCATGCTGTACCATGCCACGCTGCAACGTGTGTAAGTATTGATCCCCAATATCCCTTCAACGGTTGAAGTGAATTGATGCCTGGTTGTTGGTTGCTTTTATGCCCTTTAGACTTGTTTTGTTGTGTCCAATAGGTTTGGCAGGTTAGAAATATTTGTTGTTTAAATGAGGAAATGAAGACTGCTTAAGGGATGTGTACAAAACCCTTTATTTATTTATTTATTTTTCTATTTGTATTTGTGTGTGTGTGTGTGTGAAAACAGACCTGGCTAAAAGTTGCTTTGGGAAATTATTGAAAACAGAGCTTTTTGTTTTTCTGGGAAGGGTGTTCTTTTCAACAAAATTACAGAAGGTTGACAAGAGTAGCTGGCATTACTGTACGATGGTTATAATTATTTCGTAGTATTATCTGGATTTGTGGGCTATTGTTCAGGCTTCCATCATTAAGACGGTGACTACTTGTTTTTTTTTTTTTTTTGGTTTGGGTTCAGATAGTGACATCTTTTCTAATATGGAGTTTTACATTTTGGATCAGTAGCTTGAATAATAAGTTCCTTAACATTGGTTGGATTCATGAAAGTTTAGAAGCTTAAAATAGGTTCTCTGTCTTGTTGTCCTGGCCGAGTTGGAACTTTTAAGGTGTTATCTATGATGGGTGGATGTATCCAGCTTGTGTCCTGGTGGTGCTGTTTTTTGATGGAGTGGGCCCTAATTTCATTTCCAAATTTACTGACATAGGATGTAAAGTATGGTCCTTGTACCTATAAATCTGAGTGCTTGCTCCTGCTTACCATAGTGACTTTTCTTCATTTGTTGAATCATTGGATTGGGCTGTTAGGTGTGTGTCTATGATAAGTATGTGTTCTTTTTATTTAATGTGTCAATCATTAAGTCAATGTTTTTTTGGATCACTATTTATTCATCTGATTTTGCACTTTAATTTAGGCAACAGCAGAGCGATGAAACTCCTATGGTATGGGAGGTGCTTCTGTACATGTACATCCTCCATTCGCCAGATTGGCATTACCGCAGTACAATGCCCATCTTCCTCTTCCTATATGGTGCTGTTTTTGCCATCGTACATTCAGTGGTCCATTTGGGTATTGGCTTCAAAGTGCACTATGTCATCCTATGTCTCCTTTGCATTCCAAGAATGTACAAGTATTACATTTACACTCAAGATACATCTGCCAAGCGGCTTGGAAAGTTATACTTGGCTACTCTTGTGTTAGGCAGTTTGTTTTGGTTCATTGATCGTGTTTTCTGCAAGGAGATATCCCGCTTTCCCTTTAACCCACAGGGTCATGCTTTGTGGCATGTCTTCATGGGTCTCAATTCCTACTTTGCAAACACATTCATGATGTTTTGCCGTGCTCAACAGCGTGGGTGGTCTCCTAAAGTTGTCCATTTAATGGGCATTTTACCCTATGTGAAGATCCAGAAACCAAAAACCCAATGAGAGAACTTGAAAGGAGAATATGAAAGCTTCTCCATCAGCTTACATTTTGGCAAGCTAAGTTATTAGCAGACTATTTGTGTTCATGCTCAATTTTTGGTTTTGTTTTAGGTTGTCTGAAATGATGATTGATTATTTTACATATTTTGTTATAGAAGTAGGACATGTGCCATATTTATGTGGTCATACTGGTATTTTCTTGAGCCTGGACTATCCCTACGTTTAAAATTGCTTTGACAACCAAGACCGTTGTTTTGCTGTACTGGATGTTGTTGGACACGAGATTAACCCCTCAATATTCTAGTTGTAATGGATTATGACTTTACTCGCCAAATTTTATGTTGAGCTCTTTGAAATGTCATGTGCAGTTGCTGTTGCTTTCATTGGGAATTGTTCCTTCAGGAGCTTAGCAGTTTTAGGTGGGACAAATCATAGCTGCAGTTTTGATATTTTTCAATCAGATTCTCTAGTTAGAATATAGCATGTGGATATAGAAAACTTCATAGCAAACAGCCGAGTTATCTGTACCTAGATTCTGTTCTTCTGGTAGCTAGGACATTATGTATCTGTGCCTTCTGCCTTGTAGTGGTCTGACTGCCAGTGTTGTGATGCTTTTAAAAGCTATCCTAAATCCTTGTGTTTTATCCAATTGGAATTTTGTTGTAGCTTGGGAATATTCTTGCTGGGAGAAAGTTCAAAATTTTTGGTGATCTTTCCTCTTTTGAAAGTAATATGTTGTTCAAGTGGGGATTCTTACTGTTTACATTTGCAGGATAATTTGCGTTAGTTTTAGCTGCATACGAGATCGAATGTGATCTTACATAGAATGTAATTTGTAAATGACGGTGAATAAAATATATTACCTTCGGTCCTAATTATAAAATTTCGTTTGTAGTTTATAAACATGGTTTTATAAATCGGACTGGAGGTGGTAAATTTTTTTTCCTTCCCTAGAATAAATACATAATTTCAAAGTAGTGGCGCTCTAATGAATCCTGTTTGAGGGGTCAGGTGTTTGAAAGGTCAGGGAGTGCGCGAGATAGATGAAGCATTTGATTTTTAAACTACCGTTCAGAGGCATCAGTGCGCCGTGGTAGAAGATTTTTAAAAAAAATGTTTTTTAGACGACGTTGTAGAGCATGGTTTGGTGAGGTGACATATTATAGGAGAATGACATTTGGATTCATTGCCTGGTGACTCTCTGGATATTGACAACTTTGGTATCACATATTAACTGCTTTTTAAAAGGAATAACCAATACATAATTACAAGAAATTGTCATTCTCCATACAGGAGACTTTATGTTATTATATGTTATTCTCCCATCGGGAGTTTAAAACTGGTACCCACTTGAGGGAGATCCATGTTTTGCCACATCACTGCCTCTCAAGCATGATGAGAGGATCCAAGTTTTACTTTGACGAGACACGTATCATTCACAGAAATGGATTATCAAAGCCATGTCATAATGCAGTTGAATGTTTCCCAGAACTTGCAAAATTATGAATTTATTATCAAATCTTCTAGCAAGAATACAAGATTTATTTTACAATCTATCCAGTATCACAATGTTGCCTCGTGTAAGGTCACACGTCATGATTGAGACTCCATGAAGTATTACATCAGAATTAATTAGACAGATTTTAGGTCTTGGTCAAAATTCAACCACGTTCTGAGATTCTGAATCACAATAGTGTGCGATTGGCCAAGAGAAAGGAGAGATTTTAATGGTCACGGTACACTATACACATCTTGACAGCTGCCTCAATCTTTTTAATCTTTTCACTCACGTAATGGCTAGCACACATGTACAAATATATCTTCCATTTCACTTGTGAATGAAACGCATAAAGTGTGAAGCTTTCCAACGTGGATCTACGACTGCCCTACGATCTTCCCTTCCAGCATTTGCCCAAGCCTCAGATACAAAGCTTCTTGTTCTTCGAAGGATAGGTTCATTAATATCTGAAGCAATCAGAGCCGTTAAAATCGCATTTGTCAAATGTTAAGTTAAATACAAAGGAAAACTCATGATATAATTGACACATTTACCTGATCCAGAACCAGTTCAACTGAGAAACTTTGAGGCACAACAAATGATTGATGATAGATGTATGCAAAAACAGCCATCACCATCTACAATGCGAAAAGACAGTAAAAAATTGATTAACAATAACAAGAAAACCTATGAAGTATGACCTATTTGAGAACCATCAAGTCATTTTAGCCGCTTATTCTTTTGAAAAGAAGGGAAGAACATTTCATGATAAAATAGATGAACCAATTCTGCTCGTGTATATTTTAATTAGAGGCAACAAATAAACCAATGCTTAGTCATGCATCCGGCCAAAATACTTCTTACATGATGGTATGAATATATACTTTATTCTTGACAGCATGTTCCTAACATCCCTACTCACTACTCAACCACTTCATAGGTTATTATCAATGCCAAATGTTCATTGATCATGAAAGGATCCTAGAATGTTTTCAAGGATACACAAAATATAATTGATAAGATTTTCTTCCAATCTGCACATTTACTTATAGCTCAAGTGCCCGTGATCATTTTCAATGTTAATCTTTCCGTTGGATTGTGTTTCAGGGGGAATGAGGACGCAGGATGAAACTAGGCAATGCTAAACCTAGTTTTCAAATTATGAAATAGAAAATATCTACTCAGGCAGAAGGGATACCTACATTGGTGAATGCGTTATCAGTATCATGTAAACATGCTATGTTCAATGTTGGCAATGTGTATGTATGTCAATACTCTACCTGGCAGTCCATTCTGTCAGTAATTCCACCATGTCCCGGGATACTGTCACCAAAATCCTGCAGAATTGAAGAACACAGAGAGAACTGTCAATAATACAAGATGGCTGAAAATAATATTTGCTCGCTGCATTGCAAAAGCGCCAAGTCCAGACCTTTATTTTAAAAGCTCTTTTGAAACCACTTGCGAAAAAACCTCCAAAAGGTGCAATAATAGAAGCAAACAAGCCAATACAGAGTGCATGCCATTGCACTGGTAGGATTGATATCTCTCTCCATGGAAACTGCACCAGATTTATGTCAGAGTCGTTTAGAGATTGTGGATTGGCACCTCATAATTACACCATAATCATCAGATTTATAAGCTGAACTGGCATGTAAAAGATGTGAATTTAAACTTCAGTAGTAGTTCAAAGATCCAATGTAAACTGCAGAGACATCAATTTTAGGTAAAATCATCCATTGACTCAGGGTCGTTAGCAAACGCCCTCAACTAACCAAAAATTTCTCCCTGAGCTACCTTCTTTCAGGATGCAGATATTTCTGCTAGTTCCCCATTAATGTCATTGACCAACATTCCACTTTAGACTCTTTCATTTGTCACTTCGCATGCTCTTATTGGTTAGAAATTAAAATACAGTGGTTAAAATATTAAAAGAAGGGTTATGCAAAAAGGGAATCCCCAAATTCCCAAAACCAAAACCCGAATTTTAGGAGCAGATAATTGATCAGTGAGCACAAGTCATGTGAAAGATGAAAGAGACTAAACATTTGAGTTAACATGGTTTTAAGGGGAGCTAGCAAGAAGATCTAAATCCCAAAGGGTAATATTTCAATGGAGCATTTGCCATTCTCAACAGTGGAGGGAGGATGCATGTGAATGACCCGGTGTTGTGTGTTGGAAAAAGAGAAGAGGAGATGGGGTATTTGCATTCGCCTCTTAATTTGATGGGGCAGAGAGGCACACATAACACCCTTTTAGTCTATGCAAACAAAAGATTTCAAATGACTTTTCAAGGAATGACAGCATAAAATTTCCAAAAAACTAAGAGGTTCACAGAAAACGCGGGATAGATATCAGTTGCATTACATATCCTGTACTGTAGACTGCTGAGCGGAAATCCTCGAGTTACAATAATTTTCAAGCCGAAATTCAAATACTTACAAAGAGAGCAACCCATCCTGGTAAGGCATAAGACTCTGGCTTAAACAGTGGGCCTGGATCACAGTGAAGCCAACCAGTTGATAAATCCTGCATGTTATTTCCAGGGAAATAAAATTAAATTACTTATTTGTTGAAAAATGCCCCATCAATGAGCTATGGTCTCTTGAAGAGCTACCTTCCTAGGACATGTTAGCCACTTAGAGCGACCCATGAGGTTTGCTAGCTGCAAAAGGAGATTTGTAGAATTACGTTAATGTCTATTATTACAACTTCATTTCTGTACACATCGAAGGGGAAAAAGCAGGGATCTGCTGTTAAATTAAGGCGAGTCTACAGGTCTTTTCCTTTTTCATAATCACATGCACATAAATATTGATCGACATATCTAAATGCTTAAAAGCTTTTTACTTTCTCTTTTTTTGGCCCAGAAGAAACAGAAGAGAAGTTTAATACATCAGAAAAGGTGATTTATAGGGGATTCCCAATAGCATACTCTGTATACTAATAATAACACATCATACATTTGACTGACTCATGAGGAAATCTAAGAATGTGAGATTTAGGCCCTCCACAATAAAAAATGATAAACCAAATGAATAGACAAGGGAAAGAATCGCGAAAACAAAATAACGATTAGTGGATGCAGAAAAGCAATGGCAAGCAATACACGTGTCTTTCAAGTAATTTTCTGACACCATTTGAGATTTAAGAATAACAGTGCAATGTGCCAACCGTAGACCCATCAGCAAGACCAAACACTATTGGCATTACCACGCAAATTTCAAGGACTTTCACAAGCACGCTTTTGTGTAGCTCATTTAGGCTGTTGCAATCAAATAAACTTTGATTAAATGAAATTTATGTTATTTTACGAGTGATTATGTTAGTTGAATATCTCTCCCTCCAAAAGGAAAAAAAAAATCCATCTTCATTACAAAATTGAAAGTCAAGCTCACCAAAAATGCAGAGATGATAGTTGTAACCGATGCACCAATAAAACCTTCCCATGTTTTCTTTGGAGATAGCTTTATCAAAGGGGTTCTTCCGAAGAAGAAACCAAAGATATAAGCAGCAATGTCACTAATGACAATAAGGGAGGCTGGAAGAAGAAACCTGCAGAATGAGCCCGTTGTCAGAGAAAATAAGCAAAACGTTTAAATATCAATTATTTCATATGGTCAATTCCAAGTATACAAAGTCTTAAAGCCACCAAACAGCAACTGTGAAGTATTAAATATAATCACAAAAAAAAAAAATAAATAAATATGGGCAATTCAAAATGAAGAGCCAATGTCACCTAAAACAAACTAAACAAGAAAAAGGAAATGTATTTGGCCAACTCTAATGAAGGAAGGGAAAATGGTTGAGTTGGGAGAGCGCTTGGTGATGTGCTAAATAGATCCTATGCAAATAAAAAGTATGAATTGACGAAATTTTCTCAATCTATAAGCTTGTTCATCTTCTAACTCAATACCTGACTACAATCTCAACCACGAGATCCAAATACAAACTTCTTGCAAACAAATACAGGCTGTAAGAATATGATAACTTCAAATGATCCCAATATACAAACCAGAATCCCCGGAAATATTTTTACTCATTCACTGGTTATGTGTACAGCAAACTGAATGACATACAGAAATTATTTTCTATAAAGCAGTTCTTCATATTTTAAACTCAACGCTATTTCATAGTTCATACCAAAAAGAAAAGTTCAGACCTCAAGATATGAACTTAAACTAATTTCTTAATTTGTTCGTCTTGGCACTTTAATTTATGCTTATAAGCACACATAAAAATACATACTACCTCAAGTCCTTGCACTCTTAAAATGTTAAAATATATACAATTCAGCATCAATAACCTGTCAAATAATTGCACAAAAGCAGGTCAACTTATAACTATAATATAAGGAATAAACGACATTTTGGTCAATCCAACTCTTAAAATTTGTCCTTGTGGATAACGAGCGACAGCAGCCATCAATTAGATATCATGAAAAAGACAATCCAAAAGTGACCCAGAATAATTATGAATGCATTTTCAAAATACTCATTAGTTCCCTCAGATAGACCATATTACCAGAATATTCCTTCAAAAATGTTTGCCACGGTGAAGGAGGACTGTGTAAACACAACAATCAGAATCATGTGTGTCCAGGCATACTGACCAAATTGATACTTGTACATCTTCTTCTTTAATGTGAGAATGAACCACATAAATCCTGAATTCAGTCATTGAAAGGGAGGAATATCAAAATATTAGCATCCATCCATTGACAAGAAATGGCAAGTAAAACAACAATCTTCAAATAACTAACAAGAAATATATCAAGCATTTGACAGACATTGCTCTAGGCTCTAGCAATCAAAATTACAGGGTTAACGTGCGCAAGATACCTGCAATGTACAAGGAGTAGCAGATAGCCATATGATATTTTACAAGGCTGCTCACAAGCTGATATAAAACTTTGTCTAAGGTCACTGTGTTGACAAGGCGTTGACTGAGAATACGACCATACACAAATAACATTGCAGTGAAGAAAAAATGCCTGAAATAGTTAGTTAAAAAATAAATCAATATCAGTAAAAAGGACATAATCAACAAGTCATCTAATAATTATTAAAATCTGGCCTTTCAATTACTACCTCTTCTTATGAAAACAAATAACACTGTTACGAGGGCAATGAAATAGTGAAAAATACCAATTCAAAAGCCTAAATCCAGGCAGCTGCCTATCTTCATGAGATCTTCTAAGTAGATTGAAAAGCTCTTTTGCCATAAAGATCTGGATGACAATAACCATGGCTGTAATGTAGAGGTGACCCATGTAGATGATTAACGCAAAGCCCCCTATCATCCAAAGGGTTGAGTATGCACGGATCAACATGGACTTGTATTTGTTCTTGTCATGAACAAGTAAATGGTTCCCATTTGCTTTGCTAAGTTCTGTATCAGTCTGAGATAAAGAAGTTATCAAATGAATCATTTCCTGGTTTACTGAAGTTTTTCGTAAAGAAATTGAGCCTTGGTTCTCAAATCATTCAACTTATTACTACAGCTTATTATATTAATTTCCAGTCAGAGACAACAAATGGACATTACCTAACCCATTACAGATGGCAAAAGTAACTAATTTTTTAAATTAAAAAAAAATCCTCAGCGATTATAACCTTCCAATGATTGTTTTCCCCAGTTATAATTGCTGGACAATTTTCAGGTTCCATTTGAATTATAGGATCCCCCTTCAGTGTAGGTGGAGCCATTTTCATATCAGTGCCACCATTACACTAAAGCAACTAGCAAAAAGTTTATATAGCTAACCTCATTGGAGCGTTTGCGCTGCCTATTTCGAAATGTCGGAGTCGAAAAGGCACTAGTAGTAGCATCCTTATCCTTCTGCATAGCTCTTCAATCAGATGTTAGCCAGTTTTGAACAGTGTAAAAGGGGCACGTGAAGCACAGGATGTAGACACCTGAAAAATAGATGGCATCTGCTCTTTTGGCTTACATGAAGCATTATTCCCAAGAAATCTATTATCTATTAATTAGAACAAAGTAAACATCTCAGGAGGCCTGATTAAACTCAGGAGGGCAAAATGTCACATCATATGGCAAGTTCTAAGGTAACTGAATCAATCGAACATCCATTGTCCAGGAAGGGATAAAAGGGAAAATGTCAAGCCTCTGGCTGCAATATTTGAATTGGCTAAGTGAGCTTTTTGCAAATGGTCTTCCTTTGTCATTTTCCATCCTATAGAGAGCTAGATTCTCCCCTATACCTCTTGCATATTTTGCCATCCTTGTGTAATTCACAGCATCTCATTCCTCAACTGTGATCATCTTCTTTTGACACCGGCATCTGCATGAGCTAAGCTTCATGGATAACAAACGATCCTAACTCCAACATGTAATTACTCACCCGCCTCATCAACCACATCTTTGCCTCACCACTTACTCTACACAAATTTCCTGCGTCATAAAGCATGATGCCATAGCTAACATTTAGTAAATGCCTAATATATACCTTTGAATTCTAGGTATCCTCAATGACACAAAACTCATGCCGCCCACCTCACTTCATCAAACAAAGTAATCCTTAATCTCATAATTTTATCAAAATGAAGGTTCTAGTAATAAATGTTGAAGCTCAAGCTTATCAACTGAAGTTAAAATTTGCGAATAGTGACCATTATTAGCTCTATAATTGCATGAAAGCATAGGCACAGTACTGATTCTCAATGCTAACGCAGATGCAAAGTTTAACCAGAAAGGAACATATTCGCAACTATTGCATAAATAGTACTGGGCAAGTTTGGCTACTGACTGCACCTAAAGATGCCCCTCATGAGTAACTTAAATTTATCCGCGCCATGTTACCGGAATAAAATTAGATACTGATGCCCAAAATCTCCATTCAGTCGTCTTACGTGATATCTATAACTTCCTAATTTAGAAGAACCGACTATTTATTGTATTAATGTCCGTATTAAATTAAATGAAACACAGAACCTTATTCCCAGAGATGAATAGACAAAACCAACATAAAACGACTGCTGCATTTCTCCAGGTAATTCGGATTTATGCCTGAACTTCAACATCAGTCAATACCGTTCCAGTCCCCAACTCCCCACTCCCTCCCTTCATATTGAGTTTGAGTATCAAACAAAACCAGACGTGCAAGAATTTTCAAGAAGCTCACGGGAGTAGCCTCCGGTACCTCACCTCCACGAAATGCGAGCGACAAATATAAAATAAACACAAGTGGTGAAAAATAGAGATGAATATCAAAGAATAAACAACATTCAAGGCAGGAGACTAGATTTAAAATCAAGAACAGTTGTTTCCAGTGAAATTTCAATCAGAGGTGAAGTACTCGAACCATAAGATCAAACCAAGCAGAGAAAATGCAAACAAATATCGACAAATGAGATATCTAAGAACAAGGTAGCGAATAATGAGTAATCGTGAAAGCACAAAACCTGTTTGATTCTCCTAAGAGGAGGAAGTGATATACAAAGATGGAAGACTACAAAGAATGAAGAAGGCAAGCGAATAGGAACATTAATAGAGGCCGAAGGGGCTAAAGGCAAAACGAACGACGAAGCCTTCTTTACTAGAAAATTAGTTGCTGTACCAGGAAAAAATAATAATTGAAGAGAATAATACCAAATTAAATTATATATGTTTCTCACTTTTTTTTGCCAACTATATGTAATTTTTTTCACTGAACTTTATTAAAGTTATTCCATTTTATATTTTTTGAACATATATTATGGAAAATATGTTTAAAAAATTACAATGGAAATAATATATTTCTCTCGAAAAATATTTTTTGATTTTAATAAAATATTAGAAAATAGAATGTATAGTTCACCCAAAATTTATTAGTTTTATTTTTCTTTTTTGGGTTGCTGGTTCAGTTTTGCGGCAGATACAAAATTTCTAAAATTCTAGAAAATGTGAAAAAATAGATCGGTCAAATTGAAAATACAGGGTTGCGCGCCTGAAACGTGGGAGCATAAGCTGGTGACACGTTAGCAGGTCATATGTTCATTCTTGTAGCTATATATTTTATTCGTGCATGACATATAATAATATAAAAATCATTTAAATCCATAATAAAATTTGTGATATTTTATAATACTTTTGAAAAAATACTCCCATTAATGATTCTCCTCATCCTTAATAAATGATTTTACAACTACAGAAGAGTATTTAATGAGGGGCAGATTTTAAGAAAGATAAAAAATAATTCAGACGCAAATAAGTTCCACAATTATGTTATTTATGTTATTTTTAACAACTATGTATTACAGTACTTTCAGTTTTAATTATAAGATCTTATTTATAGATATAAATGAGATATTATAATTAGGAGAGAGGTGATATATATATATATAGGAGGGAGGGAATACTGCTCATTTTTGAATTTTAATTTTTGGCACAAGTCTATTATGAGAATAGTATAAGTATTCAAATATCCATGCAAGAACATTAATATATTTTATAATGAGTACTTTAAATAGTTGTAATTTTATTTTTTCATAAAATATTATTGGAGAAAGATATATAGTCAGATCCCTAAAGTTTTGATTAATTTAAGTTAAGATCCCGATAATTTTTTCATTAAGAAATCAGTCCTTAAAATTGCATTAATTTTGGTCAAAGTACTTACTATTATTAAATATCATTGTCATAAAAATGATATATCATTATCCCGTTAGTAACATGTTACCACTATGTTGACACACAAGATATAATTTTTTAAAAAAACAATTTAAAACAATACCGGACTAAATTGCCACACATATACAAATATAAGGAATAGAATTAAGAGTTTCATCATTTATTTATGACCCGTTTGAAATAACTTATAAGCAGTTTTTCAACTATAATTTACGAAATACAAAATAAATATGCAAGAGAAATGTTGTCTCAATTTATAGAAAACATGCAAATAAATGTTCATAATTGCCAACCCAAATGAGTCCTTAATTGGCAAAATTCCTTGTCAACTTAGGATGTGTTTAGATTTGTGATGCATAAATACTTATAAATACTCTCACTTAAGCCCATACAAGACTCTCTTTATATATATACCTCATTTTTGTAAATTATAGTTGAAAAGCTATTTTTAAACAATTCCAAGCAAACTTTTAAATTGGTTGAGAGTGGCGATATTTACATTGTAGGCAACTAATTTTGGGGCAGAAAATGAAAAAAAAAAAAGAAAAAATAAAAGGGTCAATGAAAAATCTACACACACATGTTATCTTTTTAATTTATATAAAAATAAAAAGGGTGGGAATGTCAATGGGTGAAGTGTGAGGGCCTTAAGGAAGAAGGGGGTGGAAGGATATATTCATTTTCCAAACTGTCAAGACAGGGACATGTTCCACTGAATGCTTTATATCTTTGAGAATATTGTGGGTGGGGTATCCATGATAAGGGATTATATTCTTCCCATGGTGCTTCTGCCAGATAAGTTATGTCACTTGCAAAAAAATTTGACACGTGACGGCCAGATAATGGGGTCTAATTCTAAACTCTAAAACCACCACAAATTTGATTTTTCTTATGTTTCAAATTTGTATATACCAAATATAACTAGTTGAACCTATGAATATGATGTTGCCACAATTAGTAGTCAAATCGGGCCACTCTCCTAATTAAAGTATTAAACATCAGACTTATCACACTTTTATATGTCTATTTTTACTTTTAGTAATGTAATACTATCTCCGATCCTAATTATAAGAGCTAGTTGACTAATTTGAAAAGATTAAGAAAATGAGTTAAGTTAGTTATTTGTAATAAATAGGTGTTGTTTTTTCTAAAATATCTTTACTAATTAAGTGCGTTGGTTAGAACTACTATTATTAGAAGGACTATCTTAAAAAAATACATAAATATTAAAGACAAAGTAGATTGAGTCTTATATTTAGAATTAAAATAAAAATTAAACAAAGTCTTATATTAAGGACCGGAAGTGGCATATTTTTTTAATGAATTTTTTTAATGTCAATCTTTACCTCTTATTCTTAATACTAACCCATATATAATCTCGCAGCCCCCCAAAGAAAAAATTGATCTCATAAAAATTGAGTGTGATACATTTAATTGAAGCTACCAAATTTTATCCTCACCCTTTTGCTGTAGTTAAATTTAGAAAAGTTTTCTTTTAATAAAAAAAATTAAAGATGTAAATACGTAATCGTTTTTAAGGAAATGGAAGTGCATTTTGTTTATCAGTTAGCATGAAAAAAGAGAGAGAGAGTAGAAATAAAACTCTTAAATCTTTTCTCTAGTTCTAAACTAAGAAAAGTCACATTTAGTTTGATTTTGACCTTTCAAAGTAGTGCCACTAATTTTTTGTGGCCATCAGTGTCACTTATATTTTGTATCATTGAAATTTAAAATTCCAACTGATCACGTAAATAAGTATAATAACTGTCATGGTATCTATCTATAGGTTGACTTCTTTTTATTTTTATTTTTGTTACAAAAGAGGGCAAAGCCCAAACCAAAAAAGTAAACTAACGCCCTCAGATGAGAAGGGCACAAAGCACAATAAAAATTAGTTTTGGATAACCCATACTTTGCAAGAGTCTGCTACTCGGTTTTGCTGTTTGGAAATGTGCAAGATTTTCAACTCCTAATGAAACTTTTTTTTTTTTTGGTCAAAACCTCCTAATGAAGCTTTAGCATATTCATAATCTGAATGATCACGAGACTGTCAATGAACATGTTCCTATTTCCAACAATTGTGTCTACCACATTTTTTGAATCAAACTCAAGGAGAATTTTTTTAAACTCCATATCCCAAGCTAATTTGAGACCTTTCTAAACAGCCCATTCTTTTGACTCAAGAACGCTGCACAAACCAAGGGCTTGTGAAAACCTATAATCTAATTCCCACATTCATCCCTTATCACTCATCCACAGTTTGCTCTACTTGTTGATGCTGACATTGCCCCATCTCCATTGACTTTCACCCAATCAAGAGGGGAGCCTGCCAATTAACAAAGCTACCAGACACTGATTGATTCCCTGTAATAGAAATTTCATTTATCTGCACAAATAATTTCCAAGTCTGCATAATAGTGGAAGCAGGATTTGTTGGTTTCACAAAATTATCCATAAAAATAGTACTACCTCCGGTTCTAATTATAAAAACTAGTTGACTAATTTGAGAAGATTAAGAAAATAAGTTAAGTTAGTTATTTGTAATAAATAGGTGTTGTCTTTTCCAAAACATCCTGCTGCTATTAAGTGTATTGGCTAAAATTATTATTATTAGAAGGACTACTCTGGGAAAAAAATGCATAAATATGAGAGATAAAGTGGATTGGAGTTTTATATTTAGGACCAGAATAAAAGTCAAATGAGGTCTTATATTAAGAACCAGAGATGGTATTATTCTGCCATAGCCAAAGTTTCCAGCAAGCAACGCCCTTGATAAGATTCCATCTTGAAGACAAATGTCTTCCTAATTCCTTATTAAGATTCAAGTTCATCCATTCTCTCAAAGATGCAGCAAAGAAGGCATTATGAAATTTAGGATCCACAAGTTGTATCCACATCTGTGTAGCATATTGGCAATCCCGAAGCCCATGTAAGATATCCTCAACCTCTAAATTACA